TTTCTTTTGAGGACAAAGAGTAACCTTACAAACCCTCAAGAATTATACCCCAAATTCTTGAGAACACTCTCTCCTAAAGAGAACAATACAAATTTGCAAACTTACAAGGAAATCCTCACAAGGTAGATTGTTTGCACAATTCTAGAACAAAGAAAAGAACACTCAAGAATGAATACAATTGAGCACAATAAGTGTTCTTGAAAGCAAAATGAATATTGAATGAAAGATAGGCTTGAAATGCTCAAACTTGAGGTTTGATGCTTTCTCTTTGATTCTCTCTTGATTCTAGTTGCTTGATGTTTCTTGTTATTGATCAATGGCTTCTAAGCTTGCTTAAATACACCTTGAATCACTTCTGAACGTTGGGGATCATTAATGAAGTTTTTGAAGCCGTTTAAGTGTGAAAATAATTAATATTTCTGCTTGGAGCGTGAGGGGAATCGGTACCCCTAATGGGGAATCGGTTCCCTAGGTGTAAAATTCAAATATTTTGACCGTTGAACAGTGGGTGGAATCGGTTCCCTTCGAGCATACTGGAATTCTCGGAGCCAAACCATTCAGGGGGAATCGGTACCCCCTTGGGGGGAATCGGTTCCCTCTGAGCAATATGGAATTTTTGGCTTTGAAATGGTTCGAAATATTTTGTAAAATCATTTTAAAATTATTTTAAGATTAAAAACTTAATTTTACATTTGAGTAAGGATTTAAAATGAACTTTGAAATACTTTGAGTAATATTTTGATATTCGATTTAATATATCGAATATGCTTAGAAAAAATCTTTTTCAAAATTAAAATTCTTTTAATTTAATTTGTTATATCGAAACATCAAAATGTTTTCAACAATAATGTTGGAGTCCAAGTTGGGATGGTCCTGGTTGATCCCTCTAGCACAAAATTTATGAGGAACTTTGTATATTGTTAGTTCTCATATGTTGTTTTTCCTCTTCCTCTTCGATACACGAATCATCCAGTTGCATTTGTTATCACGTTTGACATAGTAGCATACATACTTTTCGATGGTGGGTCGACTTTAAAGTGAACAAAATTATGAATATTATAATTTTTAATTGCAATCACTACTTCTTCTTTAGACGAAAAATCAATTCCGATATATAACTCACCATTATTGACTAACGAGTTAAATATATAGTCACCAAGATTATGTATATCTGTAAATTATGGCACATACATTACACCATAGTCAGCTTCATACATATGTGTTGAAGGTTTCGTGTGTACCGTATTTGTGGGAACTTCATCTATATCATCATAATCAGAGTCCATGTTGAACTGCGGTGATTCTAGCTCAACGAATAGTCCAGTCTCAGCACCATCCATATCTGACTCACGAAGAGGTTCTTCTGGTGGAGATGAGTGTTCCTCTGCAATGTCGATATTTAGGTCGAACAAGCTGGTAGTTGAATGTCTTCCCCTTGAACTTGAAGACATCGAGTCATACAAGTTTTTGAACTGAGTGTTGTGTCACAAGCATCTCCACATTGAGGTCGAAAAAGTTCACAGTTGAATGCCTCCCCTGGAACTTGAAGGCATTGTGTCAAATGGGTACTGAACAGATTGCTGTGTCGAAGACATCTCCATATTTAGGTAAAAGAAATTGGCAGATGAATATCTTCCCCTTGAACTGGAAGCGACGTTGCGATATGGATTGTTTGTGCAACCACCTTGGTGGAGATCGTAACAAGTTGCTGATGAATGTCTCCCCCATTGAACTTGATGAGATGGTACCAGAATGTGGATTTCCCATTAACGAGTTAAAATCATTACACATTACTTGAGTTGGGCTGTCAACTTGATCAACTTGTTGAGATAACCCATAGTGAAAGCATAATGACATAGCACGAACCGCAGGCACTTCAACAAATATGGCATACATTTGTGTATCGACGTTTGAATTTTGATTATGAGCATCAACTATCATAGTAACATCATCATCGTTGGAGAGTTTAAACACTGTATAAGTTAACGAAAATAGTGCAGTTGGAAATTTGTACTGAAGTGATGACAGTCTTATAGTACTTTCAACATGAACCTTTCTTGAAATTTTAGTGATCATGTCCTCAAGAGTGATATTTCTCTTGAAGGATATTCTAACAGAATGATTTGATGCGAAGACAATACCGATTTCATCTTGTCGAATTTCTTCATCAAAGTAAACAATAGCTGAAATATGCCTCATTTTGAGAGTTTAAGAGTTTGAAAGATTGAGAGTTCTATATCTGCAAAAATAATAATTGAAATACACCTAATTAAACAAATAGTATGCGAATTAAAATATAAACTAATGCTAAAAAATAAAAAAATCGTAATTAATTTAAATAAAACAATTTAATATTGTTACCGTATCGACAAAATGTATCGGAATCTGATCTCGCCTTCCATTTTACAACTGCAAAAAAATAAAAAATAATTAATACAATAAAATTTGGTTAAATAATTAAATATAAATAAATATAATATGATAAAAAATAAATTTACATTCTAAAAACTATAATAAAATCTACATAGCTTATAGAATGAATTAATAGAATGAAGAATGTGAAAGTAATTTTGGTATATTTTGATGTTTGCATTTGGGGATATTTATAAGGGAGGGGATTGGTGAATAGTCGAGATTTAAAGCTCGAGTAATAATGGAAGGCGCGCTTCTTAATACACGTCTTCTTGTACGTGTTAGATTTCCATACGAAGGTATATTTCATGATCCGCGCCTTTTTATTATGCCGTCAACTCGAACATAACCTAAAAAATGTATTTCATGATCTACGCTTTATCAAAAGTTGTACTAACTACTTGAAGAAAGTGTGCCTAATATATAATATTTCGTTGTTAGAGTTTATTTTGGATAAAACGCCGGATTAGCCATGATATTCGGCATTGAAAATCCAAGTTAAAGATTTGTTTACACAACTCCATGATATTCGGCATTGAAAAGTCCAAGTTAAAGATTTGTTTACACAACTGTACGGAGTTTGGCTACGGAAAAGACTTTATGGTTATAACTTTGTTTACACAAATGTACGAAAGTCGTGTAAATGACAAATTTTCAATGACAAAAAATCATATAAAAATCATCTTAATATATTATATTCAATAAAGAAAGATGAAATATACCAAAGTCTTGTTTGAACTTCTAGAATTGTATGTAAGCTTATCGAAGAGATAAGTATAGAAACACCGGCTGCTATCCGATGTGATGATGATGTGAATCGGATGGATGGATTGTCAGAATGGTAAGCAGTTCTTATCCTACACGTGTCATCATTTTCTTCAATCCTGGCGTTTCTATTATTTTAAATTTCACATAAATTGCTTTAACTTATTCAGAACGACTTTGATTGCTGACAATGGATTTAAATATGAGAAAATCGCCTCATTGACCAAAAATACCTTATAATATACGATTTTAATCAATTTTTTTTGGATTTGCCAAAATGACCAATAAAATCGCAACGCGATATCAAAATCGCAACGCGATTTAGAAAATCGCAACGTTAAAAAGAAAATCGCAACGGTCAAAAGAAAATCGCAACGCGAGCTTCCAAGTTCGCAACGCGATTTAGAAGAAAATCGCAATGCGATTGATTGAATCGCAATGCGATTGATTGAATCGCAATGCGATTGATTGAATCGCAATGCGATTGAGAGAGTCGCAACGCGATTTAGAAGAGAATCGCAATGCGACTGAGAGATTCGCAATGCGACTGAGAGAATCGCAACGCGACTGAGAGAATCGCAACGCGACTGAGAGAATCGCAACGCGATTTAGAAAATCACAACGTTAAAAGAAAATCGCAACGGTCAAAAGAATAGTTAAAAAATTTTGTTTCTTAAGAATTTTCTCTAAAAGATAGTATCCGCCGCGGACGTGTCGAAGACACGTATTACCACGACCACGACCACGACCACGACCACGACCACGACCACGACCACGACCACGACCACGACCACGACCACGACCACGACCCGACCCGAGACGAGACGGCGGCGGCGGCGGCGCGCGAGAGTCCCCCTTGTCCTCTTTCACTCAACAAGGAAGTGCAAAATACAAGCCTTAAATACCATTCCCAATGTATTTCCAATACTATGTGGGATTGAGCATTACCAACACTTGTTCCAAATATCATTATTCTTCATAAGTTATCATCCATTACAATATGAATTAGTCGTGTTAATGAACCAATATACCTCATTAATATATGGTATTGTTGAACAAAAGAATGATGATGATGATCTTATTAAAGACCATCTAATACGAAAGAATCCAATGCATAACCGATACCTTATTGTGAAACTAATTCATATAGAGGTTGTACGTGAAAAAAAAATCTTTTACTTTATAGTAAATATCTATCTCAATAATTTTAATATAAAAATATTTTTTATTTAATAATAGAATTATTTCATGTATTTATCAAGTTATAATTTTAAATACTTATTAAAATGAATTAATTTATTATCGATAATTCATATTGTAATGGATGATAACTTATGAAGAATAATGATATTGGGAACAAGTGTGGTAATGCTCAATCCCACATAGTATGGAAACACTATTGGGAATTATATTTAAGGCTTGTATTTTGCACTTCCTTGTGAGTGAAAGAGGACAAGGGGACTCTCGGGTCGGGTCGGGTCGTCGGGTCGTGGTCGTGGTCGTGGTCGTGGTCGTGGTCGTGGTCTGGTCGTGGTCGTGGTCGTGGTAATACGTGTCTTCGACACTCCGCGAATACTATCTTTTTAGAGAAATTCTTAAGAAACAAAATTTTTTAACTATTCTTTTGACCGTTGCGATTTTCTTTTTAACGTTGTGATTTTCTAAATCGCGTTGCGATTCTCTCAGTCGCGTTGCGATTCTCTCAGTCGCATTGCGATTTTCTTCTAAATCGCGTTGCGACTCTCTCAATCGCATGCGATTCTATAAATCGCATTGCGATTCAATCAATCGCATTGCGATTTTCTTCTAATCGCGTTGCGAACTAGCAAACTCTCACCATGCACACTTACTGAGGTAGATCCACAGTGACAGTGTTCACTTGGAAGCTGCACCCATCCTGTAACAAGTTCGTTAAAACCGGGTTTCGTGGATGTAGTATACGAGGCTTCGTGTTCTTGGTAAGGAATAATGAAATCCGTAAGATGTAAAGTTCCTAATGTTCCTATGGAAGTGAGATTCATTGTCAAATTTGATAAGAAAGAGCAATGGAAGGTTGCAGTTTTGCCATTGTCCCAGAGCTGTGAAGCTCCACACTCTAGTAGTACACCTGCTTCGTTTAGAACTGGATTTCGAATGGCCGTGACTGCTTTCGGAAGCTCATAATTGGCCATCCACAAGATCGACCTGATGCCATACCACCCAGCATCACCTAGAGCACCAAGAGCTTCAAGATCTGGCTTCACACGAATGTCATTCTTGACAAAATCAGGATCAGCACAAAATGTGAAGCAACTGTTTACCTGAGGAAGTCGAAGGTTATATTAATCACTATTTTGCCAGTCTCTACAAAAGCATTTTACTATCATAATATGTTAAAATCCTGCACATAGTTAATATGATAATGACCATTTTATCGTCACAAAAGCATAAACTGCATCAAAAGACAATTAAATAACATTCAAAGCCAACTGAAGCTCATGCACAGATCGGAGGAGCACAAAACACCCAATTTTCTGTCCCTAATTCTCACTCTCTCTCCAAAAATCATCTGACATGCCATTTTACCACATACTAAAGCTTATTCTGGAATACTTAACCAGAAGTGTATCGATCTTTGGAACAACATCTATTTGAATTATACAAGTACATGTCTCAAACAAGTTTGGTCAGATTTTTCTAAGTTTTTTCATACATTTGAAGTATCCTTGAAGATCATATTCCAATGCCAAGTATTGGATACAAGTGTCAGAACGGGTAACTAAACTAGGGGGGAAGGGGGGCAACATGATCAATATCCAATACTGAAATAGATATACCACCACAAGTTTATCAGAAACAGGCTTCTGACCGCTGGAAGTTCTTTCCACAGTCTACCATAAGGAATCACAAATGTTATGAATTCATATTGCATAAGTATCAGTTTGAGAAAAAGTACAAACATTAGCAAAATATCTTATAAAAAGACGATAAACATTAATATAAATACGCTTCAGGTCATTCAATTATGTGTTTAGTAACCAACGGGTCATTTTATTTTTGGATCATCCGTGGTTAAAAATGAAACATACATCTAATGTAACTGGTATAATACCATTTTTAATCCCCCAAATCTAATCATTCTAGCAATTATGTCTTAATCTGAAACAATTCAATGAATTTAACCATTCATCTTTATTTATTTTTTTATCAATTTAGTCTTTTTATAATACTATCAAACCAAGCAAGCCATTGAATCAAAATAGCAGTTATTGTTAAACCGTTATTACACCATTAAAGTAATATAACATTTCTAAAAGAAAAACAAAGAATTTAAGAGAAGAACAAAGACAATGATATAATTTTAAATATGAATAGTAAACTAATCTAGAGACTAGTGTTTGTTTGCCGTAAAACCGGAATTGGTTTTCCCCGAAATCCCGTGTTTGTTTCATGTAATTCATTTTCCAGAAAATGTTTTCCCGTGTTTGTTTCACGTAATTCGTTTTCCGGAAAATGTTTTCCCGTGTTTGTTTCACGTAATTAATTTTCCGGAACGTAATTCATTTTCCTAGTAACAGAATTTCCTTTGTGTTTTCTGTAAAATGACTTAGGGATTCATTTTCCGTAAGTCATTTTCCGAACTTTTCACTTCAAAGCAAAAAAACTCAAAATAATTTTATTTTATGAATTTAATATTAATAAAATATTTTAATATCATTTTCATCAAAATATTAATTATTAAAATATTTAAAATATATTTATTAATATTTATAATAATATAATATTATATTTTTAGTTTAATACTATAATCATTATATTATAATAATATAATATTATATTTTTATTTATATATATAATTTTTTTTATATATTTAATAATGAATAATATTATTTATATATTTAAATAATATTTTAGTAAAGATATTTAAAATATACTAATTAATATTTTTAAAATATAATATAACACTATTACTTTAATAAATAATTAATATAATATTTTATTTCACTAAAATATACCAATATTAATATTTTTATTAATAAATTATAAAAAATATTTAATAATAAATAATTATTTTAATATTTTAAAATAATAATATTAAGTTTTATGAGAAATAATATTATTTATTATATCTAATATTTGTAATAAATAATTTTTGAAAAAGTCTTCAACTAGTGAAAAAAAGGTTTAAATAACATCTTCCAAACATTATAAAACGTTTTCCAGATGTTTTCCAGAAATGTAATTCATTTTCCAGAATTCAAATTCCAGTAATTCATTTTCCAGTCCAGTAATTCAAACTCCAGTAACTCATTTTCCGGAAAACCAATTACATGCAAACAAACATACCCTAAATTAGTTTTACACAGATTTAAGACCGTTAGATAAGTAGAAATAGATGATTGTGATTAACAGTAAGAAATGAGAAGATATTCACTGGTAAAAAACGAGTTAATCTCAATCATCGATTTCCACTCATTCACCGATCCTAAATCAGTATAAAAATAAAAAAAGTTTTACATTGGGTAAGTGAGTCCTAACCCTTATGAATTTTCAAAAAGAAACGAAAAATATAAAAAAATAAGGAAATTTTGGAATCTTTTCAAACAAAAAACGAATTCATAAATGAGAGAGAGGATGAAAAATGAAGAAAACCTAAGAAAGATATGTGTAGTGGCAATTTCGTAAATATGTTAAACAACATAAAATGATATTTTGGGGCAGATCACTCCTAAATCCGACCTCGAAAAATTTTAGGATATACCTGATCCAAAACCGGATTTAAAAAAAAATCGACCATATCAGATCGAAGCCATGGAGTTCAAATATTTTTGTCATCCCTAAACAATGCATATAACATCATTCGATCTCGATTGCCCATATCCACAATGAAAGAGTAACCCAAAAAGAATTCAATAGACTCATTAAATCCGAGCTGAGAATCCCAATTTCTATGATCATTAGTGTTTAAACAAATTGAATAACCCATTGCGCAGAACAGTATCCAACATGATCATCCAAACGAAGATATCTAATTCTTGAGTAAAACCAAAGGCGCACTCTAAGTGTTTAAACACTTAGATTGCCTGAGACGGCCTAAGTATAGTAAGGGACAATATGTATTTGTTGCAAAACATGCAATTTTTTATTGGTTGATATTCATGATTTTCTTATGGTCAATGTTTGTTGTTGAATACTCAAATATTACAAAGATTGGAGTTTGATATTATCCTTTTCTTACTTGTAAAAATACATTAAATGAAAGGAAAAAAAAAAGTGGGAAAAAAAACCTAAAGGAAAATTTAACCAGGCGTGTTTTTTTATGGAGAAAATTGCCTCAGTGACCAAAAATGCTTTATAATATACGATTTTAACCAACTTTTTTTTGGATTTGCCAAAATGACCAACAAAATCGCAACGCGAAATAAAAATCGCAACGCGATCCCCAGAATCGCAAATCAGTTTCCAAAATCGCAACGCGATTCTTGAAAATCGCAATGCGATAGTACAAATTCGCATTGCGATTTTCCAGAATCGCAACGCGAATATGAAAATCGCAACGCGAACACATAAATCGCAACGCGTATCCGTAAATCGCAACGTGTATCCGTAAATCGCAACGCGTATCCGTAAATCGCAATGCGTATCCGTATATCGCAACGCGTATCCGTAAATCGCAACGATAATCCGTAAATCGCAACGAGAATCTGTAAATCGCAACGATAATCCGTAAATCGCAACGAGAATCTGTAAATCACAACACTGAAATTTTGGGTATAACTACGAAACAGCAGCAAATCATAAACTAAATCCCTAAATCGCAACTCATTCCATCTCCATCTATCACTCTCTCCGGCGACATCCGTTCCTATATCCAACGACATCCTTCCCAATCCGGCAACAGGTTTTAGTTTCGCAGCTCGTCTGTTTAGTAAATTAATTTACAACCATGAAATCATCTAATGTTGATCATGTTTGGATAGATTTGTGTTTTGGAGGGTCATGGGATAATGTTCATGGTGTTTTACAATATATGCCTTTACCCATGAATCTTCAACTAAAATTGTCTTTACAAAAGTTAACTTATGAAACTCTAATGCTACGTGTTTCAAATAAATTGAATTTAGAGCCCCTAAGTGGATTTAGGCTATCTTATCAGAGAAATGGTAAAATTTATTTGTTAACCGACAATGAAGATGTTGAACGATTCATTGCTTACATTAGTGTTTCACAAGATGATGTTACATTGTATGTTGTTGAACCTAGAAGTAGTATTGTTGGGTCAGTAGCGGGTAGTAATCAACTAAGTTTTTCTCAAAACCCACAACCTTTCTCTAATCCAAATCCCAATCAACTTTCAGCACCAAATTCCGGTTTTCGTATTGACCAGTTAGACGATGATGAGCCAACAGAAAAAATTGTGAGTACTAGTCAGTATTCGAAATTTGGTCTTGGTCAATATCCGGACTTTGATATTGGTCAATACACGGATTTTGATGATGTTTCAGAAGAAGAAACAGACCCTGCGTGTAATGATTTTGATATTGGTCAATACCCGAATTTGATGATGAAACAGCCGTTGCCGAAGAATGTATTGTTGATAATGATGAGGAAGTTACGACTGTGAATGAACATGTTGAACATCCATTCTGTAATTCATATAATCCTGAAGAAGAAAAGAAGAAGAAAAAGTCCCCGAAGAAAGAAAATGCCACGGGCGTATAACTGGAATATGCCAGAATTACTTCAGATACCGGAAGAATAGTTGGTAAAGAAAGCAGTTGATTGTTACACAAAAGTTATTCGTATCAAGAAAGATGATTGTTTTGATACAAAGGAAGACTGAAGATAGCTTTGTATACGAAATGTGTGGAAGATGGCTATCAACTAAAAGTTAACAAATCAAGCAAAGATCGTTTCGAAACAAGGTGTATGATTGACAAAAACTGTACGTGGCGTATGATTGCAAAGAGAATAAAATTGCGAAATGTTTCAAGTTAGGACTTTTATTGATAAACATACATGTTCAAGAACCCAAGTTTTTCCTCACCATAGACAGGCAAACAAAAAGGTGTTGGGTGGTTTTCTGGCTGAGTTAATGTTTTTGAATGGCAGGTATATCGGGGACATGAAATTATGACTGACATGAATGCTCGGTTCAAGATTAGTATATCATATTCTCAAGCTTGGAGAGCCAAATGTTATGCCTTGGAATTGTTGAGGGGGTCGCCAGAAGCATCGTTTGCCCAACTGCCGGCTTATTGTCACAATTTAAAGCTGAAAAATCCTGGGTCGGTAACTCATATCAAAACAGATAGAGATGGACGCTTTGAGTTGCTGTTTATCGCCATTGGTGCTACGGTTAGTAAATCAATATAATTTTGTTGACTCATTTTTGTTAGTTACATGCATTTCACATTTAAATGATTATATTTCTTGTGTATATTATTTGTAGATTCGTTCGTTTATTACTTGCATGCGCCCAGTTATTATAGTTGACGGAGCACATTTGAAAGGTCGATACCTTGGAGTAAACTTATTAGCAGTAGCCATGGATGCTAACAATGGGATATTGCCAATAGCTTACGGGGTTGGCAAATCTGAAACATCTGATTCATGGACATAGTTTATGGGGCATCTTAGGGATTGCATAGGTCCTATTAGCAATCTGACAATCATATCTGATAGGGCAAACTCAATTGACAACGCTGTTAGAAGGTGTTTCCCAGATGCTTTTCATGGACTTTGTGGTGTTCATTTGTATAGAAATCTAAAATCAAGGTCTGCTGGTATAAAAAGCACAAATGGACATACTGGAAGGCTGTAAAAGCTTATCGGGAAGTGGATTTCAATAAGCATATAAATTGTTTAAGACGTGTTTTGCCTCAGTGTG